GCACTTTGTTTTGTTTTGATGTTTGGAAACTCAATGTTATTAACTTCTTATTATGCTTCCTCCTTGATAATTATTTGGGTAAGTGTTCCTTAAGTACATGGCTGTTTTTTAAAACTAATGGTTCATCAGTTTCTTTGTTACTGCTTTGGGATTCATGAGGGATTTTCTAAGAACCATCTCATGTGTTTTACTGAATGGAACTATATGTGATAGAGTATCCAAGTACTCGCTTCCAAAACAGGAAAAACACAGAACCAAAGTTAATATTGGAAAATGTAGAACCTTGCCTCATAGTCTGTGCCCCATCTTTCTGTCATTTAAATTTTGGTCTCAGGATTTATTCTAGAAAGGTATCTGTGCTTCCTTCTGGTTGTTTCCTCTCCTCATTTCAGTTTTGTACCTTTCCTGCTCCAGTCTCTGACCCCTTCTCTCCTTCTGCATCTCCCAGCAGTCTCTCCTCCTTATTCTGCTGTGCTCAGAGACTAAAGGCTTTGGTTTTAAGTTTTTTCCCCCTTGTGTCTGTTTGTATGAAACATTTAGATTGTTAGAATCAGGTGATGATTGAGTCATATTTTTCAGAATCACTATAAAGAACAGGTTTAGATTATCAGGAGACTGGCTCATAGAATCAAAGCACATGGTGAAAGGTCATCTAACTCTTTGGCCACTTTTGGCAGGATGACTTTATAAATATAAATCTTCCTAAATTTAAGGACTCCTGGAGGTGATTATACTTTTTTTTTTATCAGTGGGCTCCACCATTACAGTGATTTGCAAATCTAAGAAGAAAGAAATTATTCCTTATATTTACAGTGCATGTGCTTCGGTATTAGGCAGGTTTCCGGGAGACAAAAGCATATTGTACTGTCTTAACTGAAATGTATTTTATTTCTTGAATAATCTAAGTTGCTCACCTCATTTTGGCCTTCCTGATTTCTAGAACCCGTTAACAAATTTGGCACCTCCTATTTCTTTGTCCCATACAAGTAATATTTATTTAAGATCCCATTTCCCAAGAATTATGCCTTTTCTCAATCTGGACTGTCACCCTTTCAGGTTGTGTGACTGGAGTATACTTAGTCCTGGAAATGAGCAATTAGTATGTGGTGATGATATTTTCAATGGTGACAAAAAATCACTAAGTTGCCAGCCTTTGAGATTAATGATAGTTCTTACAGTCAGTGGATTCTGTTTATAATTAGGAAACATGTCAATGTACTTAATTCTGTATTTTAGATGTGTACCTGAGCAAGTCCTGCTATTACTCAGGTTTAAGTACTCTTGGTACTTGTGTACAGGGAAGCCATTGAATGGATGAATGAATATCAGTAAAATCTAATCTAAGTATATTTTGCAGGAAATTTCTCTTTATTTCAGTTGAGCACCTATAGTATGTCATTTCCTTCCAGGTCCTTGACACTGAAATGTGTCCAATTAAGCATATTTATGTATATTTCATATATTTTGTTGTATAAAAATAAATTATGCCAACATTTACAGAATATAGCATGCTGATATATAGTCAACTCTAAACACATTTATTTACTTTTGTTTATACTAAGCACTTTGAAACCTGAATCTTACCACATTTTTTGTTCTCAGATATTCAGAAACTTCTGAGATATAATTTGGACTTATGTATTTATGTTTTGATCTCCAACCATATTTTCTGCTAAATTTTAAGTAGATTTAGATCGCTATAGATACTATACTTTGGGAATTTAATATGTACCTGGAAAGGTACAAGATTTTATAGAGAAGTATTTAGTTGATACATTAAAAAGTTCTTTTATAGTTTATTCTAAGAATTAATAATATTTAAAGAAAATCTTATGACTGAGACATCTGTCTAAAATTCTGAAGTCATTTTATGTTCTGAAGTTCTTATATATACCTCTTGATTCTTAGGTAAATCAGAGATATAGAATCAGTCATAGAAATTTATATTTGGTGATTCTGGTTTCAACTTCACAAAGTCACTAACTGACCTACTTTGGATAAAATAAGGTTTTCTTGAAGTTAATGAGCTTATGGTAATGATATGTGAAACACTGATACTGTGCTAAATTTTAGATTCTTGAGAGTCTTATTATTTAGAAGTATTTTTTGGTACTTAAATTTATGTCTGTAAGTATTAACTGTATGCTATGTTATTTTCTCCATGTAGGGTATACTGGAAATGAAACCATATTTCCTGAAAATAAATGTGCCTGAACTTAGTTTATGGGTAAGAATCAATCTATTTGAATTCATACATTTTTCCTTCTCTAAAATATATAATTGGTTTTATGTTTCACTTTTAAGGAAATTATCTTTGTAATGCAAGGGGATCTAACAGTTTTGTTACATAGTAGGGCTCATTTTTAATGTGATAAATTGTCCTTTTCATGAAGGAAGTTAAGATTAATAATGGAGAGGGGGAGAATTCCAGTTTTATTTATTTATTTTATTACCCATGTTTTTTCCTGGGGAACAGTGCACATGTAAGAAACTGTAGTAGAAGGGGAATATAATTGCAGTTGTATAAATCTCCCATAAAATATATTAATTTTGATAATGTGATTGTATGTATATATTTTTACTTTGAGTGCTAGCCCCTTGATTTTGGAGTAACAGTCTTTACTTTAAGATGAGTTTTTTTGCATTTTCATTTGGATATGCAGATATTTATTTCACATGTGATTAAGACATGTATTTTTTTCTTCTTAGGCTATGAAATGACTGTATGAAGCATTAGTTTATTTTTGTTTTCTTGTATTTTTCTTTTGTAGGTTATCCAAGGATGTTCTTGGTTATTTGGAACTGTCACACTGAAGTATTTGACATCTAAAATCTTTGGCATTGCAGATGATGTAAGTAGATTTTTGCTCAAACTTGAAAGATTGGAAAAGAATCAAACAGGTTAAGAATGAATTACTTGAGTTATTAAAGTCCCATTATTTAAGCCAAATTCTAATATGAAGTCTGTTCACCTGTTATTTTGCCTATTTACTTAAAGAAAGTAAATGTTACTATGTGTGTAGTCTCTATTCTCCAATGTTAATTTTTTATACAGTTCTCTTATTTTATTGATCTTCCTATATTACAAAGATTGTTGAATTTTAAAACAAGAAAGCTCTAGAGACTGAAGCTCCATTGTTAAGGTCTATGTAGTCATTTTCATCTGGCTTCTTTGTCATCCTCTTTGTAACACGTAAAGATGCCATTTTCAGAGCCTCCTAGACTGCAAACCACATTATGATCTCATTCCTTTTCCCTCCCCAGTTTTCTGATCAGTGCATGTGAAAGGTGTATTAAAGCCTCTATAGGTAATTTAATCTAAGTTAGTTTTGAGAGACATTTTGGTTGCTGTTGTTTGGGATTTGGGTAGGAGAGAACATAAAATGAGAAGAATTCTACTTTATAACTAAGGATTCTTCCTATCCATAATTTTGCTTTACCTGTTTTATTGTAATGTTTTAGCAAGCATATGAATTAAATTAAAAAAGAAAGCAACACAACAATGAACACAGAAAGAGTGAAGTAAATCACATCTTTTTTTCTGTCATTTATTTTAATTGGCTTTTTTCCTATAATAGATTAAAGCTGTGCCTTTGAAACTGGGTTCTGGGAAGTCCTGGGGCTTCCAAGGACTCTTTCATGGGGTCCATCTGCTTCCCAGTCCCCCTGCCAGCCCCTTTGTCACAGGCCAGTTTAGCTTTAATCTCCTGTGTATTGGACATTTATGTAGGCTTTCATATGAACAAGGGAATTTTTTGCTTAAGAAGGAGTGAAAGCAACTAGGCTATTAAATGAGTGGTCTACAACTTGTGGGAAGATGTTTAGAAGTATAAAACAGTAGTCTAAAATATATGTATTTGCTCATTCAGTCAATATGTACCTGACAGTAGAATGCATCCTAGAGATAGAAAACTGAGTAAGATATGATCTAGTGGGAGATAGGAACAATTTCTAGCAACTGTAATACAATATAATGAAGGCTATGATAAAAATCAGTAGAGGAGAGTCAGAGAAGGCTCCCGGAAGTCATCTGTGAGGATGAGAGCTAAAAGGATGGAAACTAGAAGTCAGTCTGAATAAAGATAATGAGCAGAAAGACAGGTGAAATAGCCCAGGTCCTACACACATGGAATCTGTCTGCTAACTGAGGGAAAACAAACCAGTTGACGTATTGATTGAGGTTAAGGTGAGTATTGTTCGTTTCTGTAATAGCCTGATACTGTACCAGGGCCAAAAAAAGTGCTGTGAAAACAGTTATTTCCAAATCAGAAATAATTTAGTTGCAACTTTAATGTCTCTAGAAATCTGTAATATTGAGCAAGGACATCAGCTATAAATTCTTAATTTTGACATTGGTCAAAGGAAAAAAATAGCAAGGCCACACAGCTCTTGAGAATCCTTTCTACCCACTCTTCTCTATTAAGACAGATATCCTTCTCCATCCTTTAGGAACCAAATGAGCAATTTCTCAGTATATCCCTGATGCCCATCCCTGTGCCTGTCTTCACTCTTCTTGGTAGAAGCCTGATGTTATGAACCAGGCAAGCTTAGTACTCAGTGCCCCAAGGTTTTTATGAGGGGTTGGTAAAATAGGCATGGTCTGCCTAGCACATACCCAAATCCCAGGCTCCCAGAAGGAGTGTAGGTGTAGCATAAACACATTGTACAGTTTAGGGACAGTGAGCCTTCAAGATCACTTAAGGTGGTAGGATCCATCTAAAATACAAGTTCCTTGAGCAAGCAGGTATTTCAAAGGATAGCATTGAGTCCTACTGTGTTGACTTATCTGAACATCAAGTCTGTTCCATCTTTTCCTACCTGCCTCACCTTGGATATTCCATGAAAGTGCACACCACCTCCCAGCCAATCATAGATTCGTGGAGAGTGTGGGCTCTCTAGGAACCCCTATGCATGTGTGTGGCTTTCCAGTCTAGTTGGATGGGAGAACTTTACCCCTTGTTCATTGTCTCATTCCCAGGATCTCTAACATTTCTAGCTAGGCTGCCATTCTGCTGTTCACTGCACTGTTACTCCAACCTTAGGCTGGCAGAGCTGTGAGTTTCCATCTTTCATTTCATACTGAGTTTGCTACTTTTATTGCCAGTTTTATTTTCTTGTAATGTTTTTGTGTGGTTTTTGTTTCAGGGTAATGCTAGCTTCTAAAAATATTGGGTAGTAGTAAATCTCCTATTTGCAAAGATAACTTGTGTAAAATTGGTATTATTTCTTCTTTAAATTGTTGTTAGACTTCAACAGTGGTACCTTCAGAGCCTGGAGTTTTTTAGGAGGATTTTCTGCTAGGAACCCACTTTCTTTAGGGAATGATTGGTAGTTTATGTCTTTAGTGAAAACTTAACCTATTTCAGCTATGTCGTCAAATGATCATGGTTTTTCAAGAAATTCTTGTAAGATTCAATTAGCAAAAATTCTTATTGAAATGTTTGCAGAGATGCAAAATGGTCTTTTATATTCTTTAACTTTCTTTATTTGGACTTGGAATCAATATTACATGCACATAAATCTTCTACAAAGAGCTGTTTTTTGTGGGGTTTTTTTTTGCAATTTTTCTTGTTTTCTATTTATTGTATTAATATTTTCAAAGTACCACCTTTTTCAAAGCCCTTTTTGGTTTTGTTGAATTTCTCTTGGTCACTGAATTCTGTCATCCTCATTTCTTCTTATTGTTTTGGGCTTGTGCTGTAGCTTTTTCTGATGCTTGGCTCTTGTTTTCAGCCTCTCTCATTTTCTGATAAATGTGTTTAAAGCTATAAGTTTTCCTGTAAGCAGTACTTTTTGTGTGTCTTACAAATTAACTGTTTAGTGATTGTCTCTTTAACCTGAATGTTAAGTTTTATATTACTTAGTTTCTAGCCAAAAGGATTAGTTAGCATTTTCCAATTTTACTGCATTTATGATTTAAAAAATGTTTGTATTATATAAATTATTTGAAATGTATTGTAGCATGGTATGTGAACTTTTAAAAAAATACTTTACTTGTGTTTGAGGATACCGTGTTCTCTTTATGACGCTGGTATTCTCTGAGAGCTTATTAATAAAATTATTCAGATTTTATGTTAGCATTTGTCTCCTTTTTCTATTTTAGAGAGAAATATTTAACATTTCAGATGAACCCTATCAACTTATTTTCCCTACAGTTTTTTCAGTTGGTCTTTCATACAATTCAAATCTATACTTTCAACTACAAATATGTTTATGATACATATCATCTTGCTTTGCTGTTTGTTTGTCAGCACTTAATATCATTCATTGTCTCTGGTCAAATATTTGTTGCTTCAGTTCAGTTTTGAGAGATGATGTAATTGCTAACCCAGAGTTTTTGGGTTCATTTTATCTGGTTTTTCTTGTTCTCCTCTTTCAACCTTCTTGCATACCTTGGTTTTAAGTATGTCTTTTTAGACAATATAATTTTGTTTTTTTTCCCTTAAATCCAATTTGAACATCTTTCCTTTAGTGATTCAAGCTTTATATATACATGTATGTGTGTGTGTGTATACACACACATATGTGGCAGTTATCATATTGCATTATATTGGGAGTTATTTCTTCCATTTTATTGGAGATTTTCTAACAATGTTGCTTGCTTTTTAGTGTTTCTCCTTTTCACTGGGCAGTTTTCTTACGCTATTTTAGGCACTACTTCTTAAATTCTTAAAGCACATCTTTCTTCCCCAACAAGACAATATTTTGAAAATTTTCAGCTCATTCCCACCACCCTGACCCCTTGCTTCATGTAGATATCCTTTAGGATTTTAGCTATGGTTTATTTTAAATATAGCTTCCTCCCTTTTCTTTGGTTCATGCTTTTTTAGACAATAATGAATTGAAAGTTTGGCAAGCGTTTTCTCATTTATTAAATGAAATAATTCCACCTTCCTCACATAGCTTTTTGTGGGAAATAAATGGAATGATATAAGTGAGAGCACTTGGTATCATGTAAAGAATTACACAGATGTTGATTGCCAACCAAGAAATACATTTTATTCCAAGGCCTGCCCATTTCCTGCTAATTTCAGAAAGTTTTTTTAATCCCCTTTTTAACTGTCTAAATTAATACTTCCTTTTCTTTACTCTGTCGCACTTTGTCCCTTTATGACAGACAGGTGTCTGTGTGCGTTACTGAGCCCACTCCTCCCAGTAGGCTCCAGCAAAGGAGACAGGGTGTTATTTCACAAGGGTTAGCACCCTGAGCAGGGAAAACCCAAGGATAAAAGCCGTTAGTATATTGGTGATCAGTCATGGCAGCCCAGGGTATTGGTGGCAGCATCATTTGTCAGCAAAGGAAGGGGGAACTGTGAAGCGGGAAGGTACAGCACTTCCTTCCTTAGCAGAAGCAAGCCTATAATAGGAACAGTGAGCCCTGTAATCTAGTGAAAACTATTTTTAGATACTATTAAAATTAAAAGGCATTTTTATAATATATGGTGTAATCTAATGGTACCTCACTTTATTTCCTAGGCTCACATTGGCAACTTATTGACATCAAAATTCTTCAGTTACAAGGATTTTGATACTTTATTGTATACCTGTGCAGCCGAGTTTGACTTTATGGAAAAGGAGGTAAGATGTGATTTCTAGTTTCCTTTCCTTAGGTTTTGGTCCATTTCATTTTTCATAAAGGGTGCTCCTGTTACTTCAGACTCTTTCCTCTGAACTGTTACCTTATTTTGAAAGAAAAGGAAAATCTGGCAGTTTAGAGGAAGGTATACCTATTTACATTAGTAAAGCTCCCTGAAATATTTGGTCTTTTCTCATTTGACAATTTAGAAAAACATGCATTCAGACTAGAAATAGTTTTTTGGATGAGTAAACACAGAGGCATTTCAAGTTGCCTCTTTTCAGGATGGCATTAATTCAGTGACGCTCTCAAGCTCTCACACTTCCAGCACTCGGTGGTGGTTTGTTTGAATGATCTCATTGCTTTGCAATATCAAGTACAACTTTTTCATTCCAACATTTTTCTTTCTAAAACTATATTCAGATATTTAGAAGGAAACCAGAGAGTAATTTGGTGGACTGTGAGACAGAAGTCTGCAATATTACTTGATGTTCTTAAACAAATGACTCTCATAGTTCACCAATTTCTAGTAGTATGCTACAAACAGATATTGTGAGGACATAATAAGATATGTGGGGAAGTATTTTATATAAAATACTGTTTTGCAGTACTTTATGAGTTGATTTGGTTTAACAAACATAAATATGTGTGTGTGTGTTTGTGTGTGTCTTTTAACACTACCCTTGTGGCCCTGACTTGTTATGATATTTTATTATCTGTGAAACGTTTTCCTTCAAAGCTATGTGTATATGTATTAAACTGGCCAACAATACTATGTTGGCACTTTCATTTTCCTCCTACTTTCCCACTTTGTTAGCTCCATGTCCTGAGTTACAGACCAATGGACAATAGTGAATCACACTTCAGACTCTTTATCAACCAGACATTCTGGGTTGAGCATGTCCTGCAAATGTACTGTTTACCTATCAGCCTTCATTTTCTGTGTTTGGGCTAATGGTTTTGACAGTAAAGGCTGATAAAAAATGTATGAAGGACAGCATTGAGCCTGCTTGAAAGGGCCTAAGGAAGAATATCTTGCAAGACATTAAAATGCATATTCATAGCAGATCAAGACTCCTTCAAGGAAGTGGTAAGGGAAGTAGAGGGTAAACATCAGCAGAAAATTAAGATGCAGTGGAAGTCCTTTACCATTAATGAGGATATATGTACCACTACCCACTGAGAGTATGAACCGTTAGTTATGTGATAGAAGAAATTGTTTATTGAGTCCTAAAATTACTTCAGTCAATTTGAAGAAATGGCAAGCTGTTTCCAGCCTGCCACTCCCCATTTCCGTAAGTATCTTCACAGGGACTGTGCTGTAGACACAGAAAATGGTACCAGTTCAGAGAGTGTGTCCATTGTATCGTATGTCTATCTGGTGGGGAAAAGAGAACAATTTAACATGAGGTTGCAGTGATATGGAAAGACACCTAAGATGGATATTAGAGTGAGCAAAAGAGTACTATTTTATGTACCTATAATTAACACACATAAAATTTTCCTCTTATACGTTATTCTAAAAGTGGTTTTTGGGTGGAGAAATAACCAGTGATTAACTTCTTTTGTAATTTGCATCTTCTAAACTTTGCATCATATTTTAATTCTATTATGCTATTAAAAGACAGTAAAAACAATGAGGGTGATTTTTCCCTTTTAGGTATGAATATGGATAACAACTATTTAAAAGAGAGGGCTACCAAGATAGGATCATTTTTATGGCTAAAAATAGGCAATGCTGCATAGACCCATATGTATTTATTTAACTATGTTTATATATATGTACTTAATATGAAATGAAGAGAGCATCAGATGCACAGATAAATGCATGAATGTTATTTGAAAAATTAAATTTGGCATGGGAGTCAGGTTAAGCCTTGTATCCCCATTATAACACCAAACTTCATTTCAGTTAAGGTGTTTAAAATAAATGAAGCCTAAAAAATAAATTTGAGAGTCATTTCAAAGAATATTAACTTCATTTTAATGAGCATAATACCAGTGCAAAATGCATATGATAATGATTAATAGACTTGTCTGCATGTAACTTAAAATGTCTGTATATTAAATACTGTAAAAATTTAAAGGGAAATGACTAACTGGAATGATTATTGTCATAAGTATAACAAATAAAACTAGGGATTAATATAATTAGTATAGGAACTTGTCAGAATCGATTAAAAATTACTAAGGACTCTCACCCTTCCCCTCCACCAAAAATACATCCCCGCCCTCACACACACATGCAGAAATAGGTAAAGGATGTGGACAGACAATCCATTGAGGAGGAAATGCTGATACTGATTAAAATGTGAAATTAATTTCCTCCTTTATTTTTCCTGCATTTCCTAGTTTTTATAATGAGCATAAATAACTTTTATGCTTAGAATAAAATCAGCGATTACAAAGATATTAAAATAATCTGTAATTCTAATGGGACACACATTTACATGTCTCTCACTGGGTGGCTTGTTTCCCTTTGCATTTGTATGTATTTACATATACCCTCGTTGGTATGTCTTTTGGGATTGAGGAAGTTGTATAATTTTGTTTTCTTCATATTCATACTTTTATACATTAACCTTAGGTCCTTCTATTGGTTTCCTATTAGGCCTTATACTGGATTTAGCTTGTCACTTCTGACCCAACCCCTGCTTTCCGCCCATTTGTAATTTATTGTAATACTATAATCATGCTCTTGTTATACTTCCTATATACTCTCCCCCCTTACTCCATTTTTAAGAGTCCTACTGTATCTTCATTGTCAACACATACAGCCACATGTATGTTCTGTCACCTTTATATCCCATCACTGGAGTTCTGTTGGTCAGTGTTTTTTGTGCTCACTGTGAATTCTGGGATGGAAGCCCTTCGTACCATTTGTTCGTTGTGTGAAGCTTGCTCTCTGGTGGATTTCTCAGGAAGGGCTCATGGCAACAGTAATCCCTGCGTTCTTACATGTTCAGACTACCTTATCAGTAGCTTTTAACATGAAGGTCAGTTTGGTTAGATACAAGATCTCTGGCTCATATGTCTTTCCTTGAGTATCTTAAGTTACTCCACTGTGTTCTGACTGGAAGTATTGTTGTTAAAGTCTGATACTTAATCTAATTTTCCTTTTAAGAGAAATATTTTAAATAATCTTTTAAATGAACTTTTGGAATATAGTGTAAAAATTGTTTGAACTCTTCATTAAATACTCTTAACACAATTTTGACACACTGCCTTTTTAAGGTAAACACCTGTGTCATACAACTTTTCTTATATTGTTACTTGTTTTTAGCAAGTCTCTACTTTTTAAAGTAATAGTTTTGGTTGTATGATTTTGGCTTAGGTTAAGACATAACTTAAAATTTACAAAATAGAAATACATATTTTTAAATGTTAAGTACTATTGAAATTACTATAAAAGTAAATAGTAAAATAAAAACAAAAATTCTTTTAATAGAACTTCTAACTCTTGAGGTATGCATTTTTGTAATAAGTAATCAAAGTTACTTATCTAATACCAAATAATAAGTGAGAAAATTGGACTCATGAGAGAAAATGAAAAAGTGTTACTTACTGTACTTTGTAGAATTAAAATGTAGAATTAATAATTTTAATACAATTGAAGCTAGATTTCTCTATATAAACATACTTGGAAAGCATACATTTTTGACTCAATCATACAGGATTATTTTTTTTGAAGGAAAATAATGATAAATAAGCAAGTTGGTTCCAATTTAGAAATTTCAAGCCAAGGATTATTTTAGACTATGACCTCAAATTACTGAAAGGTATACAGAATTACAATGTGTAGAACTTTATTAATTTTTTTCTATAGTGTTTTATCTGTTACTAAAGAAAATGTAAAAATGTTTTTCTTCCTCTTGTAAACATTGGTGATTATTTTGTGTGTTTGTATCATGGGATCGTGATTAAGATTTTTATCGCTGCCAAAACATGCAGGGAAGGCTCACGCCATTTAAAGGAGTTCCCTGACCTTACATGAGTATCAAGTTGGGCCTTCTAGTTAGAAAAGTAGTGTGCAAAAAGTGAACAGTAATTTCTCCTCACATTTTGCCTGTGTAAAGTATTTGGGGACTGCATTTATTAGACTTTACAACTCAATATTTTGGGGAAGTTTGTTTCTAGCATCTTCATTTTTACAGTGGGAGTCCCTGAGTAAGTATAGACCCTAGATGGGTGGATGTTCATATTTCCTTACTTACACTTCTTAAAAATTCACTTAATTCATTATTTGAAATAAAATTTTATATGTTTAAAAGAGTCTTTTTCTCTAATAAAATGTGTTGGTTTCAGACTCCGCTGAGGTACACAAAGACGCTGTTACTCCCAGTTGTTCTCATCGTGTTCATTGCGGTTGTCGGAAGGGTATGTTTCTCACTCCAGAGCTCATACAGTAAAACATCTCCCTGTTTCTACAAAGGAGTACATATATGAGGCTACATGTTAATCTGACACAGTATTTTGTATGGATTTATTGAAACATATTCTATATTTTCTTACTAATAGCCTCTGATGAACATTTATAAGCCTTAAAAAATAGACATAGGAAAAACATGGCTCAAAGTTTTGATAATCATGTATTTCGAAAGATGTGATCAGAGAGACTATATTGACTTAGACACAATTATTTTTGCCTATGGAAATTATTACTGACTCGTGTTTAGCTTTTATATAATATTTCTCTAAATTAGTTATTATATGCCTTCCTAAGTCATTGTGTAGTGTTCACTAACTCCTGGATTGAGTTTATTATTAATCAGAAGGAAAAAAATAGAATATTAACAGTATCACTAAACATGATAAAATGTGAGTCTAACAAAATTAGACTCTCCATTTGGCTTTGATAATGAAATTCTAAGCACAGACAAAAACCAGGCCAGGGGAGTTCCAATCTTTAGCTAAGATCAGGTGTGACAGTCTTTCTTTTCTTTTAAGTTGGTGAACTCTGTAACTGTAAGTGCTTTGAGAGAATAAGTTGAGATTAATCTGGAATCAAAAAACAGATGATAGTCCTTGGAAATTTTCTGTTTGGCGTTAGTTGTTTCTCTGTTAACAGAAATGTCATATATTTATAGAATGTTTGATACTGTAATTATCATTCAGATTATATATTTGTACTCTCCCAAAACATTTCACATGCCTTCTTTCAATTGGTTATCATCATCCACATTTGATAGGTACAAAATTGGAAGACCAGAGAGATCGTTTGCAGCCTCATGTCATGTCCATTAAAGAGCAAGGGAGGAGTGAGAATCAGACTCTGCACGTCCCCACCTCATTGGTCTTATATAGTACTCAGTGTTGTAGTCTCATAAGTTTTTCAGATCTAATCAGTTTATGGTTAGTGAGTTTCTGCTGAATGCCAGGCTCTATGTGTCCTTTGCACTTTTGCACACTTTATGTGTGTTTGTGTGCACCTACTAGATAATAAAAAAATATTAGGTGATATTAGTGATGGCAATCCAGAATGCATTAAAAAAACAGCAACCTGGATGGTTAGAAATGATGAAATTATTAGATTGGGTTAAGAAGCTGGGATGTTTGATTTAAAGAAGTTTCATATGGAAAAAGGATAATTTTTTTTAAATATTAAAGGCTAGCCACTTGTATATAAGGTTACACTCATTTTGGCTCCTTAGAATTATGGCCAATTTAGGAGGTAGCACTTTGACCAGAACCCGTCTGGACTGATAAGCAAAGTGGTACAGATTCAAGCAGTAGCTGGGTGGTTCTTCCCAGAGCTGGCTTAAGCCTGTCAGCAGTGTCATTGAGGACATCGATACCAGGGATAGGATTCAAGTCAGATGACCTCCCAGTTACTGCTAAATATGAAAACACAGTGTTTAGTTAGTTGTCCTTATCAGTCTCTGAGCCAGTTCTCCAATTAAGTGTGTATATAATTAAGGAGAGGCATGGCCAACAACCTCGGCAGGGCAGAAGTCACAGAATGTGAAATGAAATCCAGAGGGTTAGGTATCAAGACCCACAATGCTTCCTAGTTGTTGGCCACCTTCAGGGAGATCATTTAATCCATCGGCGCCTGTTGCTCATTTACAAAATGAGGATAATAAAATCTACCTGAATAAATTTGTTGGGCATTTAGATATGATCAAATACTATGCAAATAGAAGAAGAGTTATAATTACTATTTTCTGAGTTACCTCTTTATCTCCATTCTTCTTACATTTTTAACTGAAAGTTTGAAATCAGAAGATACTTTAGTTAAAATTTTGTTTTTCTTGAAATGGTTTTAACATCTAAAAAATCTATTTGCAGATTATTAGTGACATGTGGAATGTCTTAACTAAACGACAAACACATGTAAGGTAAATATGCTGTTAATAATTTTGTTCCTTCCTCCATTTATTAAGTAGATATTTACAAATTATTCATTTTATAGTTTTATGATGTATGCTCAACATTTGATAATTGATGTTTTTGATTGTTATCATCCTCCTTCTTTGCTTTTCTCATTATTCCCTGTCTATGCAGAGCACAGCACATTACGTATTCATGCCTACCCGGTACAATCTGACAATAGCCCTGTACATGTTCTATACTTGAAAGACAGATTTGTGCTTCAGTTTATCAGGGAAAAGAAATAATTGTGTTCATCGTTTTAGTACCAATGGGCTGCCTTTTGAGAGAAGAGCAGGGAAATATAAAGCTGGATCTATATCATTTTTTACACAAAATTCCAGATGGAGCAAAGACTTAAATATAGGAAAAAAAAGAAATTCTCAAATTAACCAAGAGATTCTTTTTTATAAATATAGGGTTAGGGTTTATGTTAAGTATGACATAAAATCTGTAATAAGCTAGAAGGAAAGATTGACAAGGTTGACCAGTTAAATACTTTGGTTTGGTAAGATACTACAAGCATTGTTCAAAGAAAAATACAAATTGGGGAAAATATTTACAATATATGACAAAGGACTATAGACAGTCATATATAGAGAACTTCAGTAAATGAATAAATAAGAAAGATGCCAAAAAAACACCATTAGACTGAAGAACACAAACAGGCAATTAAAAGAAAAAGAAATTCTCATTTTCCCTTTCCCACTATATTCAGGTTCCATGGACCTCCTTTCTGCTCTGTAACCCTGGCAAGGTATTTCTTGCCTCTGCAATTTTGCAGTGGTTGTACCCTAAGCCAATTATTGTATCCTCTGCTCCCGACAGATGGGCTATTTGCATGACTGACTTCTTTAATCTTTGCTTAAATGTCACCTCCCTCAAGAAGCCTTTCCTGACCATCATTTCTGAGTAGATACCTTGTCTCCTTGGTTGTTATTCTCCACCATCACACCCTTAATCTTTCTCTCTCAGCATTAATCACCATTTATAGTTAAATACTGGTGTGTTGCCTGCATCTCCTGAAGGGAGGGATCATTTCTATTGGATTCAATAGTTTATATGCAGTGCTGGGCACATAGTAAAAAATAGTAGTTGAGTGAGTGAAGACTTACATATGACTAGTAGAAACTCGAAAAAGTGCTCAATCCCATGATAAAGATAAAGGGAAACCTTTTTACTTAGCAGGTTTATAAAGCATGATACCCAGTGCTTGCAAGGGTGGGAGGGAGTACCTGAGAGGGCAGTTTGCAAGGAAACATACAGGCCTGTCCCATAACCCAGCATTTCCACCAGGGAAACTGTGTCCTCTAGAAGTACTCACAGGAAGGCAGAGATAACGGTATGGAGATAACCCTTTGTGGTGGGGTGTGTAATGTGGAAAATGGAAACAATTGAAATATCTACTATTTATGGTTTTGTTCAATTATGACTGATGATAGAGTGGAATGCTGGGCCATCTTTCTGGAAATATTGCCATCATGAATTATTTAATTAAAAAATGACAACAAAAATATATATATGTAGGGTGATTACATTTTTGTTAAAAATATGAAGATTTTGTCTATTGTGCACTGGAAAGATCTGGAAAGAAAACCTGTAACTGTTAGGAATGTACAATTGGAAGGTGGAGTAAAGGAAGTTTTAATTCTACTTTCATTCTAATGTGGCATTTTTTTTTAAGGGGTAGAGTATTGAATGTGTGTCTGTATTTTCTTTTATAACTTGAGTACACACAGCCTATATATTATTCTCTCACTTCCAAATTTCTACCAACCAGTGATAAATTATTGCACATACTCCTGAGACAATTCTTGTTCTCATTTAGAAACAGTTTGCTGTAACTGTGCCCTTGCTTATACCTGGAGCCCTTGAGGGCCAGGGGAGAAGGAGAAGCTTCTGGTGTATAATGCCAAAATTTCTCTTCATTTGAGATGAAATTGTTTCTGAAGAGCTCAGGAGGAGCTATGAAGTTAGAGCTCTAGTATGCAGTGCTGGAAGAGACAGGTGGAACTTCTCACAGAAACAATGCAGTCCTCTTAAGAATAATTCAACTATAGAAACAATTATAGAAAACTACAGAACTTCATGGGGTTTTCAATTCAAGTAGGATCAGAGCTTTTTTGAAAAGAGGATGGCGCATTGACATTTCATATCACAGAGGTACCAAAGTCATATGCCAGTATAAAAAGGGGAGGGATAAGAGAGATTTTCATTATGAAGATGTGAGTACCAGTGTCCCCTTTATTCAGAGAACTATGGGGTAAAATAGGATACAAGGCAGCATGATGCAGCAGAAGCTATGTTGGTTCTAAACTCAGTCCCGGCTGAATATAGACCTGGCTTTGCCACTGAATAGCTGTGGGACTTGCTTTCCTCAGCTCTAAGTTGACATAATAAATAGTTGTAAGGTCTGAGTTAATGGGATGTACTGGATACAGTAACATTCTTCGTGTTCAATAAATGGTAACTGATAATTTATAAATGGCATGAAAGAAGAATGAAGAAAGATCCTCTTCACTTCTTTCATTTGCCCTATATTTTTACTGAGTTTGGTGATAACATGAATATTTTTAAAACCAAATTCTCAAATCAGATTGTATGCTACCTGGATTAGTGGTCAGTTGAATTATTTGTTCATTCAAAAAGTACTAAACTGTCAGTGCCAGGCATTGTTCTAGGTCTTGGGAATACATTGGTGCTTAAGATAGAGAAGGTGTGTTGTTATCAAGTCACAATTTGTATCTCTGACCAGGCTTCTCTCTTGAACTCCAGATTTATATATGTGACTCCTTGTTTGTCGTCTCTACTGGGTAGATTCGTCTCTACTGTTTGAGATTCTACTGGGTATTAGTGAGAATCTCAAATTTTGTGAACACAAACTGAACCTAGAATGTACCCTGCGCCAGCATGCTTCCCCCAGATCCCTGTCTCATGTGGCCCTGCCCTTCTCCCGCTGCTCTCTTTCTGGTCTTGCTGTCTGTGTTGAGGACCTTCATACCATGGGGCTTGGTATTGTCTGTTCTCTCTGCCTGAAGTGCTCTTCCTTGAGGGACCCTCAGGCTCAAACTGTCAACTCCTCAGGCCTTGTTCAAATGTCATTCAGTTGGTGACCACATTGATTAACACTCCTGCATCTTTCTTACATCCTAGTGCCTTTTTCCCCACATTACTTACCCCTTGTGACGTGTTTCTTCATTCGCTTTTTGTTTGTCTCCCATGACTTATTAGTAAGCTTTTGAGGGCAAAGATTTTCTTCCACCTCTTTACCCCTGAATCTCCAGTGTCATCAGTGCTTGGTGAAGTTGAATGAATGGCTGGATGAATTTCTTCCCTGTACTCCTGAAGGGTTCATTTTAGAAGGGAGACACGGATGACAATCAAGTAAACCAATAAATGGACTTTTTATTTCTGATGAGAAGGTAAAGCAGAGATATGGAATAGGAGTGATGAAGAAGAGGGGCACTGAAGATGGGTGTCACAGGCGCCTCTCAGATGTTTGAAGGCATAGCGTGTGTCTGGAGCAAAGTGAGCAATAGGGAACGTGGTAGAAGATGAGTTTCAAAAATGAGATGGGACCGGCTTAGGAAGACCATGTGTAGCATGGTGAAAATTCGAGAGTTTGTTCTAATTTTAAAAGGAACCCATTGGAGAACTTTAAGGGGGTAGTATGAATGGATTCCATTTTCTAAAGATTGCCCTCACTGCTGTGATGAGAATCGGCATAGAGTAAGATGGGGGGCAGTGTCTCCAAGCATGTACCCTTTCTCAGGAAATTAAAACTATCAAGCAGAGTGAAAGGTGGAATTCTGGGGCTATTTGTGTACTCCAGAGCTGCTGCTGCTAAGGTCTTGAATGTGGCTTTGTAAACTGTCTCTCTAGCAGCTCCAGTTTATGGGGTTGCTGAGGGACGGAAGGAAGCAAGGGTGTGGGGCTGCGAGACTTCAGAGTCCCTCTTCCCTCCCTGCTGCGACTGAGGCATCCCCACAGCGTGCCTTTTGCTGGCCTCATAAATACCCATGTACTCAAATACACAGGATATGCAACATTGTCATTAAAAAAATAATAAACTGTCTTAAAAGATTGTAGCACCACTTTTGACTTCTAACTTTTAGCTGTTTTGATTTAAGTTTGTGTGTCCTCAGGGAATATCTTAAAGTTGCAAAACACATATTTGTAAGATAAAAATGCAAATAATTGAAGTAAGTGCTTCAATAATGATTCAATAGAAATATTTCTTTTTCCATTTTAGAAAACAGCAGTTTGATCATGGAGAGGTAAAGACTTAATACTACTGAAATTTACCTTATTTTAGTGTGTGTATATATTTGGACACTTCTTTCTAGTTCCATTTCTAAGCTTACTGGTGATTGTCATTAATCGTCTGCCAAACAGGCTGCCAGGTGTTTTTATGAGAGCACTGTAAACACGACCAGTCCTTTGGTAGAACGATTCAGCAGCCAAGGCTTTTGCTCCGCTCTGATGGTGCCGCCGGCAAGAGCAGTTTATCCCTGGAGCTCACTGAGAGGCATACGTGGAGTAGAGTCCCTTTTGCATGAGGGTGGTCCTGTCCTCTCTGCTCCTCTTGCCCTGAGCCTTCAGAGATGTGATTGGGGTGGGAGGGGGCACTCCCAACTGGTTCAAGCTGGGTTGTTTTTTTCTTTGTAATTGAGGTAAAATTGACATATAACATTATTTTAGTTTCAGGTGGACAACATAATAATTAGAATTTTTATACGCTGTGAATATACCACAGTGAATCTATAACATCTGTCACCATAGATACAAATTTTTTCTTCTTGTGCTGAGGACTTGTAATATATACTCTTAGCAACAGCATGGTGACGACAGTTAAACGTACTGTATGGCATGTTTCAACTTGGTTTTGTTGGCTCTTCCAAGGTGGAAGATCTCTGAGATCTTAAACAGCAGTTATTTTTGTTTACTACTTTCCTGCCTTATTCTCATGGTAGCAATTTGGTAGAATGAGAAACGTGGTTTTTCAGCCTCAGGGTTGACTCTGAGCAGTTAGAGAACTGCTTGCCTTAGACTTTATAATTTTAGCCCTCTAATAAAATGTAAATTGTCTCTCTAGCAGCTCTAGACAACGAACTTTAGATTTATTTCATAAATCAAAGTATTGTTATTAAGAAAAAGCATCCTGTTCTATATATTCACCAGTTTAACAATATATTCTTAAACTTCACAAACAGTAGGAGTAAAAACTCATTTCTCTTTCTTTCAGCTAGTTTATCATGCATTGCAACTCTTAGCATATGCAGTCCTTGGCATTTTAATCATGAGACTAAAACTCTTCTTGACACCACACATGTGTGTCATGGCATCCTTGATCTGCTCAAGACAGGTAAGACTGTCGTCGCCTTGGTGTTACAGCTGCTCTGATAATTTTACCCCAGCATTTGTTATTGATTGGTTCTAAAATAATACTGAATTACCCAAAGTTCTTTAAATTGCTCTAGTTAAAGTTCTTCATAGCTCCCTATTAGTCTTTCCTAAAGGGTGAAGGCCAGAGCATATCTTTTATCTGTCTAACTTCCAAAGCAGTCTTTGGCATACAGCAAACACTGAATCAATATAGGCTGAATTCCTGAATGATTACTACAGATGTTGACAGAAAGCAGAGCTTAACTGTAGAAGTTTTTTTTTTTCTTGACATTCATATCACAATTCTAACAAGTGTTTTCAAGTTATAGATACTTTCAAATGATATATTCTTTATTAGCATCATGCTTTAACATTTTTTCCCATTTATTCAAGTATGTATTAGTATGCATATCCCTAATTTTACTTTTTTAAATTTAGTTTAAGCCATCTTGGTGGTTTGCTACTTATTTTTCCTAGATAACTGCCTCCTTGCTCTGTATTCACAGATTTATGTTCCACATAGTGTCAACCTCTCATCCGTCAGCCAACCAAGGCCCCGCAACAGTGCCTCTTTTACACTTAGCAAATATTTATGAAGCATCTATACCATGCTCTGGGTGGAACGGTTGTGATAAATAGAAAAATCAAAAAGCAAAACTATATATATGCCCTTAAGTAGCTTGAAATCCAGCCCTACAGACCTGTAGAGAAATAATATTTAGGAAAGAACTAGGGACAAAACGTTATTATTGAGTGTAGACTATATGAATATGGAAAAGCTTAGCCAGCCTCAAGATTCCCAGTCAGCATGTTGGTATTATTGTAAAGCAGCTTTGGCCCCCTGAGACTGACTCTGGAAGGAGGCCACTATTCCTGGTGCTGGCAGGCTGGGACCTCAAAAGGAGGCTGGTGGGAAGCCTCTCCTTTCAAATCCCAGCCTGCACCAGGACTGATGACAGAGCGCCTTGTCACAGGCTGGCTTCTCAGATATAGGACCTCTGTGAGTGCACAGGGCCCACACTTGGAAGGTCCCTGCACCTAGTTTGATGCTCTGATATTGCTGTTTAGAACTTCTTAATAATTTCAAACAAGGAGCACCATATTTTCATTTTGCACTGGGCCTGGCAAATTATGTAGGTGGTCTGGCCTTTCCTGAATCTGGAATGAGAGAGAGCAAACTGAAAGAAGAACTTCTTAAAGTATGTCCCGCTTATGTAAGACTAACAGTAGAATTCTTTTGATCTCTCAGGTCATTGTTTCTGGAACTTTCCATTAGGATAATTATAATCTTTTATTTGGGACTGTAGCAGAGACCCTGTTCTTCCCTGTGAAGAATTTTTGCTTATTAGCTACAGACTGCTTTGAATTAATAATCATCAATGTACTTTTAATTTGGTTTCAGCTATTTGGATGGCTCTTCTGCAGAGTACATCCTGGTGCTGTTGTTTTCGCTGTATTAGCAGCAATGTCAATACAAGGTTCAGCAAATCTACAAACCCAGTGGAATATTGTAGGGGAGTTCAGCAATTTGCCACAAGAAGAACTTATAGAATGGATCAAATATAGTACCAAACCAGGTAAAAACAAAACAAAACATATTATTTAGCTACAATTTCCCCTACAATTTTATATACCACTGCAAAATCCTAAAACTGTTATTTCAAATGGTATTATACTTTCTAAACAGTGCTGCTTCTAGATTATCCAGAAAAAGAGAGATGTCAGTTTGACTTAAGTGGCTTTACAAAGGAAATGTTATACCTATTTTCTTAGTAATTTATTTTGCTATTTTCCATAAATTCTAATTTTTTCTAAGTTTTGCATGCCACAATTTAAAATAATTTTTCTTATGCTTATTTTCCTAATGAGTTCTTAATCTTAGTTCTTCACATTCTTTCTTGAAATGAACTTATGGACTGTGATGTTTTATTCATGAATAAAGGGAGATTTTGTTGTCATCTGACTATGAAATGACTAAATATTAAATCATTCTCCCAGAATTCCTTGGAAATGTCCTTAGAATCAGGAAAGGTTTCTAAGGTATTAAAAAATTAAGAAAAAATAACCACCTCCCCGGCTGCCCCACCCACCCACCACCATCCCCACAGCCAAATCCTCAGTGATGAGAATGATGAGGCTGTATCTCCCAAGGAAAATTGTTTATCAATCCTGGCTGCTGACCACAGTCTTGTTGGCTATTTGATGCTTCACTCTGGTTGTGCCAGTGAATCATTTGTCTTGAACTTCTCTGGGCTGCAGCTTTTCACCTGGGAAGTACTGAGCTGACCAGGAGACTCTGCAATGCTCACCGGGTGACTTTCTCAGACCTTTCTTCCTGTTTTGCAGACGCAGTGTTCGCAGGTGCAATGCCCACAATGGCCAGTGTGAAACTCTCTGCTCTTCGACCTGTTGTGAATCATCCACATTATGAAGATGCAGGTTTGAGGTTAGTATACAACACTCACATTATTGAAAACAAATTTTTCATACAAATAGACAGTGAGTGAGGGAACCAGCAAACTAAAAAGGAGTGTTTCAAAAAGGATATAGTAAATGGTTACAGAGTTAAGGAAGAAAAGAATGCCAAAATAAGATGGCAGAGTTTGATACAAACTGTTAAGGCTCCATAGGGCAATCACACTACATACAGCCTTTGGGGTTATCTTCTCTATTAGGCAGCAAGAAGAAGTCATTCTGTGTCAGTTTGCTGCAGGTACAGGGCTCCAAAACACCCAGGCTTTTTAAGTCATCATTATCCTTAAGTTCTCCAGAAGATTCATAAGCCTATAGTTGTTTTTTTAAATTAAGGTATAATTGATATACAGTATTATAAAGTCTTCACATGAGCAACATTGTTGTGTCAACATTCACCCATATTATCAAGTTCCCCCCACCCCATTGCAATCACTGTCCATCAGCATAGTAAGATGTTGTAGTCATTACTTGTCTTCATGCTGTACTGACTTCCCTATGACCTACCTATATTGTGAATGCTAATCATGATGCCCCTTAATCCCCTTCTCCCCAACCCAACCCACCCCGGCCAGTCCCTTTCCCTTTGGTAACCGCTAGTCTCTTCTTGGGTTCTGTGAGTCTGCTGCTGTTTTGTTCCTTCAGTTTTGCTTTGTTGTTGCACTCCACAAATAAGTGAAATTATTTGGTACTTGTCTTTCTCTGCCTGGCTTGTTTCCTTGAGCATAATACCCTCCAGCTCCATCCATGTTGTTGCAAATAGTAGGATTTGTTTTTCTTCTTATGGATGAATAATATTCCATTGTGTATATGTGTCACATCTTCTTTATGCATTCATTTACTTATGGACACTTAGGTGGCTTCCATATCTAGGCTATTGTAAATAGTTCTGTGATAAACATAGGGGTGCATATGTCTTTTTGAATCTGGGATCTTGTTTTCTTTGGTTAAATTCCTAGGAGTGGAATTCCTGGGTCAAATGGTATTCATTTTTTGTTTTTTGAGGAGCCTCTGTATTGCTTTCCACAATGGTTGAGCTAATGTACATTCCCATCCGCAGTGTAGGAGGGTCCCCTCCATCCTCGTCAGCATTTGTTGTTTGTCTTTTGGATGTTGGGCATCCTAACTGGTGTGAGGTTATATCTCAGTATGGTTTTCATTTGCATTTCCCTGATAATTAGTGATGTGGAGCATCTTTTCATGTGCCTGTTAGCCATCTGAATTTCTTCTTTGGGGAGATCCTCTACCTACCTTTTAATAGGATTATTTACTTTTTTGGGTGTTGAGGCTTGTGAGTTCTTTATATATTTTGCATGTTAACCCCTTTTTGGATATGTTGTTTATGAATATATTCTCCCATACTGTAGTATGCCTTCTTGTTCACTGATGGTGTCCTTTGCTGTACAGAAGCTTTTTAGTTCGGTATAGCCTCATTTGTTCATTTTTGCTTTTGTTTCCCTTGCATGAGGAGATGTGTTCAGGAAAAAAGTTGCTCATGTTTATATTCAAGAGATTTTTGCCTGTGTTTTCTTCTGAGAGTTGTATGGTCTTTAATCCATTTTAAGTGTACTTTTGTGTATGGAGTTAGATAGTAATCCAGTTTCATTCTCTTACATGTAGCTGTAAGATGTACTTGTGTAGTTTTGCCAACTACAAATGTAGCTGTCCAGTTTTGCCAAGACCAGTTGTTGAAGAGACTATCATTTACCCATTGTATATCCATGGCTTCTGTATCATATATTAATTGGCCATATATGTATGGGTTTATATCTGGACTCTCTATTCTGTTCCATTGATCTATGGGTCTGTTCTTGTACCAGTACCAACTTGTCTTGATTACTGTGGCTTTGTAGTAGAGCTTGAAGTTGGGAGCATAATTCCTCCAGCTTTATTCTTCCTTCTCAGGAGTGCTTTGGCCATGCAGGGTCTTTTGTGGTTCCATATGAATTTTAGAACTATTTATTCTAGTTTGTTGAAGAATACCTTTGGTATTTTGATAGGGATTGCATTGAATCTGTAGATTGCTTTAGGCAGGATGGCCATTTGATAATATGAATTCTTCCTATCCATGAGCATGGGATATATTTCCTTTTTTTGGTGTCTTCTTTAATTTCTCCCATGAGTGTCTTGTAGTTTTCAGGGTACAAGTCTTTCACCTCCTTGGTTAGGTTTATTCCTAGGTATTTTATTCTTTTTGATGCAATTGTAAATGGAATTATTTTCCTGATTTCTCTTTCTGCTACTTCATTGTTAGTATATAGGATTGCAACATATTTCTGTTTATTAATTTTGTATCCTGCAACTTTGCTAAACTCAATTATTATTTCTAGTACTTTTTGGGTGGATTCTTTGGGTTTTTTATGTACAATATCATGTCATCTATAAACGGTGACAGTTTGACTTCTTCCTTACCAATCTGGATGCCTTTTGTTTCTTGTGTTGTCTGATTGCTGTGGCTAGGACCTCCAGTACTAAGCCTATGGTATTTTTTGTTGGTTTTTTTGTTTTGTTTTCTGACAGTAAATTTAATGGTTCAAGTTGCAATTAATAATTGGGTTAGCCTAGTTTACAATTACTAAAACATTTACATTTACCATTTTGAAGTAATGGATGTTTGATGGTATCTTCCAGAAAATACTTCCTAACCTCTTAAAATATTCAGCTACATAGAAAATCCAAATGTTTGCTAAGCCTATAAAATATCTCATTGTATTTAGCAATATAATATTGGCTGTGAGTTTTTTGTTTTGTTTTGTTTTACCATTTGTAGCACATTTTTATTTGTGGCTTCCTTTAAACTTAAATGCCAGTGTTCATAAGAAGTAGAAATAAGCATAAATACTGCAATTACACTTATATTATAAAAATTACATTTTAAATTATAGTAATTATTTCTAGCTATAAATTTTCAAATGCATGCTGTTTTCCTTGTCTTTGATAATAAATATTCAATGGTTTATGATACAAAGTGACAAGAAGCATATCTCTCACGTCGCCATCTTAAATCGATCTCTCCTAAGCCTATAGTTTTTATTAAGGTTTTCTCATAGGCTTTTTTTTTTTTTTTTTTAATTCTGAGGGGTCAGTTGAAATAGAATCCCATTCAAAGAGGGTTTTATTCTGCTTTTCATCAATATTGCCTGCTAGCACGATCTGGTTTTTTACTTTTTACTGTTTTTTTCCACAAGTTAAGGTATTATATTCTCTTTGAAAAAAAGTAGATTTAATTTTCATCCAATTTCTAGGGTAGGTCAAGCTATTTATTTCCCTATGTAATTCAATGAATCTTACTAATATATTCTTTTGTATAACAGTGGGATATATATTTTATAAATGAAAAGATTTTTTCATTAAAAGATCAGTTTCAGCAAGCTTAGTTCCAGAGCAGTTGTGTTGAGTAAGTTTAGGTTTTTTTAAAATCTAGGAACAGAATGTAGAGCCATTTAATGTAGAGTGTTAATTATTGCTTATCTCAAAGTCAGGGCTGTTGCAGCTTTAAAGAAGTGAGTGCTATAGCTGTGTTTGTGTAGTGCCTCTCCATCCATGCACAGGGGCATCTTACCCTTATTTGGGGTAGAGGGATGAAGAATTTAAAGCGAAAATAAGCAAACAAACAAGCAAAACGACTAAGTTTGGGAATGAAGGGGTGCCTAAACCGAATGTCTATTGCCGGGACTCTGGGCCCCTTTTTCTTCTGACCTCCCAGCTGCATTTCAGCAGGAACTACTGTGAAGAACATTCTCTTGACCTGATTCTTCTGTATAATCTTCCAGTTCCATTCAGTGCTTTCTTCCAAAAGGTTGATTACATCCTTTTAATTGTGAAAATCTTCTGCCCAATTATTTTTCTTTAAAGAGCCAGAACGAAAATAGTATACTCAATGTATAGTCGAAAACCAGCTGAAGAAGTAAAGAGAGAATTGATAAAATTACAAGTGAATTATTACATTCTAGAAGAGTCCTGGTGTATAAGAAGATCCAAGTGAGTATTCAACACAGCTAAAATTTTATATTCATAAGACAAGAAAAGTTAATCCATTCCCATGGTAAGTGCTTTACTAGTTGTGTGGGAGATGTATATAACATGTAGCAAAGTGTAAGTGGAAAAAGCTTTTTAGATAATTATTTGAATTGGAGTGTTTTTTTTTCTTTTCTAGTCATCATAAGTATCTGTTGTAATATTTGATGATTTGTATATGAATATTACCTTAAAGGCATATTATTGGTATCAATTGATTATTTCTCAAATTGCTCATTATTGCCTTTATGTTTTTAAAAACTTTCAGTGGAGAATATATTTTCTTTTGAAAGACTTAGAGTCTGAAACCAAATGTTGGGGAGACTCATTATGGTAAAGTTAGTGAGGCAGTGAGAGTCAACGGACTCCTTTGTCCTTACCACACCTGTGTACCTTGCGGTGTCTGGTAATAGACAGGACCCTCTCCCAGCATCAACACAGACTGAAAATTTCTTGCTGTTTCACATTTTATTTGAGTGGGAACGTAATTAGCTTTAGTATGACTCACATTCTCTTGGGTGTATAGTTTTTAAAAATGTCATTTCAACAGAGCAATTCACTTAAACAGAGTATAGCAACTAAAGTTAGTAAGATTGTAAGAGCAAATACAAATTCTGAAGTTGACTCTTTACACATGTTGCATTTAGGTGACTAGGCAGCAGATGACAGTAGATTGCTATTAAAATATCAAAGCATGTACTCCTTAAGGACCACAGACATGAGCAATTTCATCAGAAGTCAAGGATATTTTATGGAAGAGTATATTCAAAATTCTCACTACTTTTAAGTAAACACAAGTTTTCAGGGGATTATTGTATTTTACCTTAATCATACTCATTCACCATGAATTTTCAGTGAAACACAAGGATGTTAAGACAAAATAATTAAATACTGACTCAGGAGTAAAAATAGTTTTGTTACATACTATCTATCAACATTGCCCACAAAAAAACTCAAATAATTGTTAATTGTTCAATGATTTTTCTATGAATATATCCCAGGTGACTTGAATTTAATCAGGCTCTATAGAAAATATTACTGTTTTTAGAGTCATAATTTAGATAGTACTTGAAGTCCTTATGAATATACGAATATATATTAAATTCATCTGCTCACTTTTAAGTAACTATGTTATATAAATTTAGGGGAAAATGTCCTAAGCATCTTTCAAGACATTTTATGAGGCTATTGTAATAAATGACTGGTTGCCTAGCATTTGCAAGCAAAAGAACTCAGTTTTTTGATAGAGATTTCCTCCAGCACTGGAATTTTTTTGTTTCTTTAGGCTTCCCTCTCCAATTAGGTATGCCAGCCTGAGACATCTATAAGTTACTGAGACAGAAAAATTATGTTTCATGACCTTCTCTGCCCCAGCTAACGTAGAGCCTTGATTCAGAATTCTTCATCTTTTCCTAAGCCCTTGCATAGTGTTGAATTATATGGAAATTGCAGAGGCTGGGGCTCCTTGGATTTGCACAACTATAGCAGGCTCATGTTCTGATGGACAGAGCACTGTTTTTTTAAGCACAAGAAAGGATGAAAGACAAATGTAGGAAGTATGGCAAGGAATCTTGCACACCAGACAAAATCAGAAGTGGGTTAAGCGGTTTCGAAATGTCTCCATCTTGAGCTCCCTTGGGCATGAAGACTGAGAGGTGGAGTGGGGTGGGGAGGCTGGGCTTCCCCATTTGGACCTTGACTTGCCCTTGTTGTGTTTCTTGCAACAGGAGTGGAGTGAGAGGAAGCTAAAGAAGTGACTTCCTCTAATCTGTTTTCCTCACTCAGTAACTGAAACAACACTCTCAGTAACTGAAACAACACTCTGTCGGTCTTTAATCAGATTTAAGCCAGACTGATTATAAATCTCAGGCAACCTTAGATGCAATCTGTGTAAACCTTGAAACAAACCACAAGCTGTGCTTCCTGTCCTGATGGGAAGCAGATAGGGAATGCTGATAGGAGAGGAAAGAAAAGAACTAATATTTTACTTACATTTGCCAAAGGAAGGGCTGAGTTTCTTGACAGAACTTTCTCCCAGCACTGGGATCTGTTTTGCCTTGACCCTTACTCTCCAGTTGTTATGCCAGCTGGAGACACCTATAGGCTTCTGGAACAACAGCAAAAAATATGTCAGAACAGGGGTAGCAAATGGGGAACTCAAATAGGAGAAGAAAGAGAAGAGGGACTAATCTTTATCTGGTGCTTAAACTGTGCCCAGCGCATTGGTGAGCACTATATTTATGTTATCTCATTACAAGTGGCTTTAATTATGTGGCTTGATTATATCTTAAAGACTTGACACCCTGTGTTCAGATACAAGTACGAAAATATACTCAAATGCAAGCTGTGGATGAGTTTTTAATTAACTATTCTTTTATTCTGAGTTCTCTGCTTTCTTTCTCATGAATTCCAATAATAGAGTTGACATTAAATTAAAATACATGAATTCAGAAGAAAATTATTCAGATTGTCACTAATGCTCTTTAAAGATGTAGTTGGCTGGCCTGAGGAAACTTTAGGAGAATCACATAAGGACTAAAGGATGTTATACTCCCAAAGACAGCTCTTTGCCCTTTTTTCTGAAACAGGCTAAACTCAGGAGCTCGACAGTTTTCTTCTTTATGTATGCTTCCCTCTCTATACCATTAGCCCGCAGTGTCATAACAGTGTGAGAAAATTAAAAGGTAGAAAACTCAAGGCAGTCACACAGTGTTCAATGTTGGTAGAGTCTACTGTCAGTGAGTATATGCAAGAATGAGCGCTCTTTGCTAAAACCTTTGCAGGAGATGATCTGACAGAGGCAAAGTGAAAAAATTGCATAGCCTTTTGGCCTAATGATAGCACTGCTTCTAGAAGTTTAACTTGCAGAAAGATACAGGTGCAAAGATGTTTCTATCAACATTCTTTTACAGTGGTAAAATGGGAAGCAATTAAAATATCCATCCCTAAAAAAGCAGTTAAATATTACATAGGAGAACTTGCAGCTATTAAAAAGAATAAAGTAGGTCTTTATGTACTAAGGTGGGAAAATGGCCACATTTTTAACTGTTAAGTGAGAAGTCCCAGGATAATCTTGTTTTTGAAAAGCAGCCCAGGAGCATTGTATGTGAATACATCTGTGCCTATATTTGCATGCCTGTGGGTCTGAACATGGATAAAAACGGTCTAGCAGAGCATATGCTGGATTGTTTACACAAGTCACCTCTGAGAAATGGCATTGCAGGTGACAGTGACTTTCATTTGTTTATTTTGATAGGTCTATATCTTAATATTTTTTGTATGAATCAAATGTGTTATCAGGAAGGAGAAAGCATGTGTGTTCCTGCCTCCTTGGTGAAGGGCAGAGGAGTGGCACTGCCACTGGAAAGAAAAGGGAATGTGTTTTCTCTTAGAGTGAAGCAACTATGATGAAACATAAGTGGTTGTCAGTTCTCTAATTGTTTTTGTGTTACTTTTCTGTTCTTAAAAATTTCTTAAAAAGCACACAAGAAGTTGTGAATTCCGTAACATTTTTTTGTTCTTATTAATATTTTATCCAACCCAGTTGTCTTAGAAGAATGTCCCACATCTGCTTTTGTGTAATTTGTTCTTCATGATTAGATTCAGTCTGGTAAAATTTTGGCAAGAATACCACATGGGAGATGTTGTGTCCTTCCATTATGTCACTTGAGGCACATATCTCTCTGTTCTATAATTAGTAATTCTGTTTGCTCATGTGATTAAAGTATGTACCCCAACTCTCCATGTTAAGGAGACAGATCTCTTTTATAATTAATAAAAAAATTTATAGAGTGATACTTACAGAACATTTGTTTATCCTCTTTCTTAACCTTTCACCAGAGAGTTCTTGTATCCGGATTTTATTCTTGCCTGAATTGATTACATTGGTGATTATAAAACAGTTAGGTAATACAGATTGGAAAGTAATGTATCAGTTACTGAGTAGTGGGGGAAAGAATGGATTTAACGAATAAAACATGGACCTAGAGCCTTTGGTCTGTCTATATGGAAAAAATTAAATCTCTACCTCACACTTATGCATACGGAAAAATTAATCTAGAAGGGTTATAGATTTCAATGTGAAAAGCAAAGTTCTAAAAACTTTCCTAGGCTAATGTACAATGCATACTTGGTGATGTGATAAGGAAGAATTCCCTAAGTAATGCATAAAACATAAAACTCACAGCCTATAAAGAGAAGACTGACATTTTGGGATATAATAACATAAAATTCTTCAGTAAAACAAAACAAAAAAAGATTGTGAACCCTAGCAAAAGCTAGCAGTTATATCTATAAAACTGTTCAAGATTTAAAATAAATGTTAGCATTATCTAGAAGAACTTGTTTAGGCAAATGCCACATAATACCAATTTCACTTTATTTTTTATAAAAATATATTACTTTTAAGATTTACTTATACATTTAGCTAAGATATGAGTTTAATACTATTGTGTTTTCTTTAAATTGACTCATTCTAGCATACAACTAATGGGAAGTTGCAGAAATGTGAACTAAAAATTAAAATTTCTAAAATTAATGTATTACCCTCTTACTGGGTGCTAGGCACAGTGCTAGATACTGTCTCTCTCTCTTTCCATCCTGACACACTTACAATATGGCTATGTCCCATTTTACATGTGCCGAGAATTATGAGTGAGGAAACTATCCAACACCACATTCTTGGTAAGTAGTTAAGGCAGAATTTAACCAAGATCTCTTACCCCACCACCTGAATTCACAGATTTTGTATGTGTCTCTTTATAGCCATCTTTGTTGTGTCCACCTTGTTCTAAAGAAGATTTTATGGCAGCTTGTCTAAATATAAATAGCTGTGATAGGATTATTTTTTTAACTAAGTTCATTTAAGTAGAAAAAAATAAAATGAGGGTAGGAGTATAAAAAAAGTGTGCTCTGCTTATATTGGCCATTATGTGATGTCCATTGACTTATAATCTGTACATGATGTGTTACAGGCCTGGTTGCAGTATGCCTGAAATCTGGGATGTGGAAGATCCTGCTAATGCTGGGAGACCTCCCTTATGTAACCTCTTGGTGAAGGATTCCAAGCCTCAGTTCACCACTGTATTCCAGAACAGTGTTTACAAAGTCTTAGAAGTTATAGAAGAATGACTGCTGCCTACAGAGAAGTACATCAGTAATGGTTTTAATGTTTTGCTGATAGCTCATGCCTTGTTTTTAATTCAAATCCCAAAAACTTTTATAGGTAACTGTTTTCAAATAGAAAACATTTTATTTGGTCAGTTTGAATGTCATTCTGATTGTAAAACATTTAAACCTTTGTCAGTTGGTTATTGTTTCAATGCACCCCTTAAAATTTGCTATGCAAATGAGTATATGCTTGCACTTGACTTAAACATTTGTGCTGAAGTGAGCAAAGCCGCAAGTATAAAAGCTATGATGAGTCATGACAAGGATGATATGAAAATATGGTCAGTTTGAACTACCGAGGGGCTTCTTTTACAGATTATGGACTATTGATGCCCCTTGCTTCTTTTTCTGCCTCTTGCACTTGTCTTTGGACATTTCAGTAATTACCTTAGTCCTGTTGGTCCCTGTCATCAGCATCACTAGGAGTAGGTGGGGCAGACATTTGCTATGTGGAATTATTTGTTTATTTCACTTCTTCGTGTTCTTTTGTTCTCTGTTGCTCTTGTTAAGGATGCATTTCCTGCCCATGATTAAGCCAAACTCTTAGACCTAGTGGTCAGGATCAAATTCTTTAACTATGTCCATGTGGCTTTAGGGCGTCCTCTTTCTCTCTCCCAGCATTCTTTGTGAAAGAAGTGTTGTTTACTCAGTTTCTGTGCTTATCAAGTACTTATTCTTGGTTAAAAAAATGTAATGGCACTTGTGTATTTTTCTCATTTTTAGTATTATTCAAATATTTATATTTTAATACCTTTAAACCACTTAAAATTTTTCATGTTTAATTGTAGTTTAAGAAAAACTATTTTGAACAACACAGGTTTAATGCATCTAGAAACTAATGTATATTTGCATAGACATAATTTATAGTATAATAGTAGACTACAGTATGTGTTTTCTTTTACTATAAAGATACAATAAAATGAGACTAATTTTTCTGTCAAAAAATAAGTACTGATAAGTGAATGGAATTTTTATATTTTACTTTTCAAATTGCCTGTCTTTAGTAAGACAAAGCCTTAAGCCTTATGTTTTAATTTTGGTTCAAAAACCATCATTTCAGTATGAGGAATGAATGTATACATCCTTCCTCTCTGTTTCTTTCTTTACTTTTCTTTTGAAAAATTTCTAAACCTGCTTTGAATTCCTAGTGTGAATTTTTCTTAGAAGTTAATTTGTGTGAAATGAGATTCTTCAAAACAGTGAATCCTCATAGCTCTGAAATGGTTTTAAGATTTTAAATTCTAAGCAAACCATGACTCTAGGCAGAGTACACATTTAATTATACAGTGTTCTCTTTATTAACCACAGGCAGATTAACCTCATTGTGGATTGTCCTTGAGACCTGAGTCCTCAGGGATGGTTTCCGGTGCCCACTCCTGGTAGCCACTGAAGAGCTGTTCTTTTTTTGCCTTGTCACTAGAGGCCAAGGACAAGCCTTGTCTCGCACTAGCTTGCTTAGAGCAGACAGCTGCAAAGGCAGCCCCTGCTGCGGGGTGTGCAGCCCCCAGCCTGCCCCAGAGCCCACGTTCCCGGGGAGCCTCCTTCCAGCCTGAGATTCTTCAGTATCTTTAGGTGCCTGCCCCCTCTTTGTTGCTTGCTGGGTGACTTATCTGGGAGAGCTTTTGCCAGTTTCAGAAAACAGGGAAGCCACTGGTGAGTTGTGGATTAGGAATAGAATCTGAGTGATGATGCAGCAATCCAGAGAAATGAGAAGAGGGCACTTGAGGCCAAGGAGGAGGAGGCGCATCACTGGGTGGGCAGGGGGCACGTGTGCTCTGCTCTAGCTGTGGATTTGGGTGCAGCTCTCACCCAAATATGGCTGTTTTGTACATCTAGCAGTTAATTTTTTTTTAATCATACTTTTCAACTTATTCTCTATTTTTCTCACCCTCCGAGAATTCCCTTCCTGATAAGGTCACATGTAATGACTGGAAATTCTGTACAGGAAAAACATTTAAATACTGCTCTAACTATTCCATATTGCTGTGAAAAGTTTAGACTAGTCAAATTTGGTTTTCCTTTTTTTCCAAAAGAATCCTTTTGTAATGGTATTTATTAATGTAGCTCCACCAGCAAGTTACGATTATGTTTTAGGCCAGTCAGTTTAGAATGGAGGCCTTGGGCTGCATTGCACACTCAGCTTTGGTCCTATCTGGTAGCAGCCGGTGCTGTAAATTATAAATATCTTTTATGGCAACACAGAGTAGTACTAGGTTCCATATACATGACAAAGCAGTATTAAAGCCCAGTATTTTATGCATTTTTAGCATTTAAAAATATTTTCGCTTTACTGTGAAGAATGTAAGGATGGGCAAGAAGGTGATACAAGTGGCTATGGCTATTACACACAGGAAAGCTGGGGCAGTATTTCTATAGAAAGATAAGCTCCTAAAAATGCTTAGCAGGAAAAGTATAGTGTTAAAAATAGGGCAGTGATGTTAAGGAGGAAAATGAAAGGACGTATCAGGAATAAAGTGATATTCCATAGGATTATTGTATTTTTATGAATTTTATGCCAGTTGTTTACATGTATTACTATGTAAAATAAAAAAAGATCATGAAAAATATGAACATGTTCAGCCTCCTTCTGTGGTCAGATGATTATGAACTGGTTTGTGGCTGATTGCAGTCCTGTGTAATGGGCAGCGGTTGTAACAGTGGGCCCCTGGAACAACTTAATCCTCTTTATTGGTGGTGGTATAGGTATTGGGGTCACTGTGTTATTATACTTACGGCATTACACACTTACAGTACTTTATCATTTACATCGAGACACAATTCTTTTTTTCTTTTTTCTTTAAGTATCATTGATATAAAATTTTATGTAGGTTTCACATGAACAACATTATGATTTCAACATTCACCCACAAGTCCTTACCACCCCCACTGCATTCACTGTCTATCAGCATAGTAAGATGCTGTAGAGTTGTTATTTGTCTTCTCTGTGCTATACAGCCTTCCCTGTGACATACCTATATTATGATTGTGAATTATAGTGCCCCTTAATCCTCTTTTCCCTCCCTTCCCACCTGCCCTCTCCCATCCCTCCCCTTTGGTAACCGCTAGTCCCTTCTTGGAGTCTGTGAGTCTGCTGCTGTTTTGTTCCTTCAGTTTTGCTTTGTTGTTGTACTCCACAGATGAGTCAAATCATTTGGTACATGTTTTTCTCCCCCCTGGCTTATTTCACTGAGCGTAATACTCTCCAGCTCCATCCATGTTGTTGCAAATAGTAGGATTTGTTTTCTTTTTATGGCTAAATAATATTCCATTGTGTATACATACCACATCTTTACCCATTCATCTACTGATAGACACTTAGGTTGCTTCTATATCTTGGCTATTGTATATAGTGCAGCAGTAAACAGGAGTGTGTATGTCTTTTTGAACCAGGGATCTTGTTTTCTTTGGGTAAATTCCTAGGAGTGGAGTTACTGGGTCAAATGTATTTCTGTTTTCACAATCATTCATTAAAGCTGTATTTTGAAGATAACTCTAGAGTTTCCAAAAGCTTCTGATATATTAAACCACATTGGTCTCATGACATTTCCAAAATTATAGTTTCATATTCTTGCTTAATACTAGCATCAGCTTTATGTTTTTATTTGCTTGGAGAAAAGACAGTTTAATTCATGCTTGAATAATTAATCTCTTTACACAGTGACACTGTCATTCTCTGACTAGAGGAATGCAGTATTCTAATACAGTGGTCCTGAAATTTAGTGTACATCAAAATCACCTGGAGGGATTGTTAAAACACATTTTCCTGTACCCCACCGGAGAGGTTTCTGATTCAAATGGCCTAGGGTAGTGCGATAGTCTGAATGTTAGTGTCCCCCCAAATTCATATGTTGAAGTAGATAAATTCAGTGATGTGTGAAGATTTTAAAACTTCAAAGGTGATTGTATTAGGAGGTGGGATCTTTGGGAGGTGATTAGGTCCTGTGGATGTCCTCAGGAATGGCATTAGGACCTTATAAAAGAAGCCTGTGAAAGCTCTCTTGTCCCTTCACCATGTTAGGTTACAGCTACAAGGTGCCGTCTATGAACCAGGAAGCCAGCTCTCACCAGACACTGAATCATCTGGCGCCTTAATGCTGTTGAACTTCCAGCCTCCAGAACTGTGAGAAATAAGCTTCTGTTGTTTATAAGATGCCCAGTCTGTGGTATTTTGTTATAGTAGCCCAAATAGACTAACACAGGTGGGACCCCAAAATTTGCATTTCTGACCAGTTCTCAGGTAACACTGAAGCTGTTAGTCCTGGGAGGATGCTTGAGAATCCCTGTTCTAATGGATGGGAAAAGACTAGCTGGGAGACTGGCCTCTAGGGGGCCCTCCATTACTGATAGCACTTACCCCACCAAGACAGGCTAGAGGGGCCCAGTATTGGGAACTGAATTACCGAGTCCCTTCTTTGTCTCTTGGGAACATTGCTTCAGCAAAACTTGGAAAGAGCAAAGAACAGATAAGGTCATTTTAAATCAGAATATCAATATAGCTTATTTGCATTTTGTTTGCTGTATGGGTGAGTTATGGATCATTTAAATATTTTAAGGCTGTAAACTAGACTGGGATTTGGACCTGTTTCTTTTCAGTACAGAAATGAAGAAAGTGAAATCCTTTGAAATTGAACTTCCTTCTGTAAAATTACTTTGTCTAAAAGAAAATAGATAAATTCAGTGATGTGTGAAGATTTTAAAACTTCATTTTCTACTTTATTACTTTTGTTTGGCCCCGGAAATCCTCACTCTTCTCCCTCTATTAGGGAGCAGCTAAGGATCAGCTCTGGGCCACAGATCACCTGTTTCTCTCTTCTGCCTTCCCTTTCTCCTTCTCCCAACTATAAGTTTCTAATTTAAATCAGTAAAATTGTTCCCTGTGCAGAAAAAAGAGGAACTGCTTTTAAACTTCATTACATTCTTGAATCAGTCTTTATTTCACAGTACTGTATCAGTACAAGTGTGTTTTTACATTTGAAGTTGAAAAGAATAAATTGGTACAGAAAAGCCTTGAAAGCTCTTTCCTTTTACTTTTCCTCCCATGAGAGAGATTTAAAAGTTCTGAATGGATGTACAAATTGAAGACTTTTTCTCTTAAGATTTTAGTCATTGTAGTGTAATTAAATGCTAGATCTTTCTTTTTCTGCTGAGAGATTAGGATAATATTGATATTTGCTCTGCTTTTGAATTAAATTCTGTACTCAATTATCTCTAACCCAAAATTCTAATTACTTTAAATAAGCAGTATATTGTCGAAATGACTTTCACATAAATGATAGTGCTACCAAGTATTGTGTTTACATAGCATGTTCTCTTTAATTCAGTATAATTTCATTGATTTTTAAGTGGCTGGGCTTTTTTTTTTTCTTCTGTATATAAATTTAATGCTTTGAAAGGAAGTTGAATGTAGCAAAACTAAGCTCATTCACTTGTTATGTTGATTGCCCCTAAAGCTTTGTTACTTTACCATTTCTAAAAAAAAATAGAAAGATATGAAAATAAGAAATGACCATTTCTAGGTAGATTTGACATCAGGCCATGAAAATTGATTTAAAAAAAGAAAAGGTCCTGGAGGGCAGCTCTTCAGCTCAGCTGTGTGCACAGGTCTTTGCTCGTGGTATCTGCCTGTTGACCAGAGTCCAGATTCAGAGATGGCCCTCTTGCTCTAGAATCTTTTCTTCACAGGAAGTGAAGTTTGGTGATTCTTCCAGCCCCTTAGTTCTGTGATGAATTTGGCTTTTTCAAACAAAGACACCTGTGTCAGCTATTCTCAGACTTGTCTGCCTATTGGAAATTACTTGGGAAGCTTCGAAAATACTGAAGCCTTTCCGCCATCCCTGGAGATTGGGATTTAGTGAGTCTAGGGTTTGGCCTCAGATTTGGAATTTTTAAAAATGTTCAGGTGACATTTTAAAACCCGGCCTCTCTGCCTCACTTCTGGATATCCACCTGTTGCATGTCTTTGCCCAGTCAAATTAGAAGATGGTAAGCAAGTTTCTCTCATATACATACTCTCCTTTATTAGTAATGATTGACTATTTCTACTACTTGATTTCTATCAGTCATGCAACCCAGCATTGAGTATATTCTTTAAGGAAAGAATTCTGTGCTCAGGGATACCTGCCATGGGGGTGAGTGGGAGGATAGTAGCTTAGTTGCTACATATTTGTAAACCCTGATTAACATGTCAGTGAGAAAATGAAATTGCTTTGAAAAATCACTTTGACAATTTAATATTAGTATGGAGAATCACGTGTCATCTCTTAGTAGATGTTTTTGCTTTCTCCTGGAATATGCTTTCTTGATCAGTATTCACTTTAAAATGCAACTAAAATATTACATCCTCTCTGAAGCCTTCTCTGACTGCCTACCCCTTACCTGAGTGAACTGCCCCTATTGCCCGTGCTCTTACAACCCCTTCATTCCAGACATTTAACAACAACAACGAAAAGTCTTTTTTTCCCCAATGCATTATGTCCTTACAGACTAGACCTATGTCTTATTCCCTTCTGAATCTACAATGCCTACTAGCATAGTTTCTAGCAAGTAGTAATGCTTAATGATCTTTTTAAATAAGCCATACATTATTCAATAATGCAGTACATTCCAGATGGCACTAGAAATTAATTTTTTTAATTAAAGGGAATGGAAGATTATGAATTCTAGTTGTGGAGATGAAATAATAAGGAAATGCAGGACATCTTCAGAGGAGATGAATGTCATATATAGCAGAAAAATGTCCTTGATAAACAGCTGAACAAAAATTAACCTTATGACATATCCTGGCTAAGTACCTTGATTCATTCAGACATGTTAGTAACTGAATACATCATGGAAAGAAATATAGCAAAGACAGATATTTCTTTCTCCAGAGAAAGGACTCTCATTGGCCTGACTTGGGTTGTGGAGCCCAGGATACTATGATGGCCAGTCCTGGGCAAATTTCCTGCTATTGGAAAAGCAGGGAACTCTGATTAGGAATTTGGTTTAAGCCTGGGAAGAATGAATTCCCAAAGGATGGGGAGACCCATGTGCTGTTGGTGGACAAGGGTGTCAAGCTAAGCAGATGACAGCATGCATATAATTATTGTCATAATTGAGACAACTAAATTGCAACTGGGTCCATTCTTTATAAACTTTATGAGATAAGATGTGTCTTAATTTGACAATCAGTTTTCTTGTCTTTCAAAAGGATATGCCTCCTTGGGTGGTAAGTAAAAACAGGAGGAATAGACAAATCTACAAACACAGTGGGAAATTTTAACACACCTCTCTTAGAAATTAATATAATAAGCAGGCAAAAAGTCAGTAAGGATATACATGATTTGAATAATAAGAAAAGCGGTCTTTAATTAATGGTCATACATAGAAAAACACCAAACAAATGAAGAATACACATTCTATTTAAGCATGTGGGACATTTCCAAGAATTGACAAGAAAGCATGAACTCCAGGATGGCATGAGTTTTTGTTCTATTTTGTTTACGATGATATAACCCAGGCACTTAGAACAGTACCTGGCATATATGGGGACCCAGTATCTGTTGAATGAAAAAAATTGATCATGCAT